TGGGATAGGAGTTTACAGATAAGAAAAGTGAGCAGGTTAGAAAATCCATGTAGTAATGCATTAGAGTTGGAAAAATCCATATAAATTCACATTTCACTCAGATGTGCTTGATACAGACACAGATCGTTGCATATTGAAATATTTATAGCTATACATGGGTTAGTGTGTGCACACAGATTTCTGTGTCAGATGGCATGACACCAACAATAATGCTCTAGTAGCAAGAAGCACACCCATTTTCCACATTGTGGTTTCTAATACCGTTCTCTAGTAAAAGGAACCATGGCTCTTTGAGGAAATGGCTGATTCTAGAATTGAAAAGGAAATACACAAGCTGAGCATGTGCTGCCTTGCAGTCCGACAGTAAGGAAGCGCTAAACACACACACAAACACGCATTGATAGGGGTATGTCAAAGAGACATAGGAGTCAACTGAAAGAGCTCCCAAATCCAAACAGGGGTGCCTTGAGCCACAAAATAAGTAATATTGGATGATACCCCAAAATGTAAAATCCATTAGTCCTATTCCATATAAATAAATGATAGAATAAATTAACAAATGGTGGAGAATTCCTGGGCCAAGAATTCAAATGTATATAAATATTCCATCCTGAATGAAGAAGAGCTTCAATCTCTATGCCTTAAGTGTGGGCTGCACATGATGCTTTCCTTCCAAAGGTTACAGCACAGAAACAGCAGGGAAAGGGCCGGTGCAACAGAGAAGCCCAGCAAACCTCAGTCAATTGATTGGGTCAATCTTAACAGACTGTTAGCCATCTCCACAGAACGTAACCTTGATATGTTGTCATCATGAAATTAGCATTTTACCTCTGTGGTGTTCTTTCCAATGAAGAGTACTAGCAGTCTACTCATGGGATAAACACTTGATCAATTCCAATAGAGCAGCAACCTGCTATAACTGGGCCAATATTCCTCAGAACTGTCAAGGTCATCAAAAACAAAGGAAGTTGGGAAACTGTCACAAAGAAGAAGAAACTGCAGAGACATGATAATTACATGTAAAGTTGTATTTTGGATGGGATCCTGGACTGGAAATACAACATTAAATAAAAACTAAAGAACTCTGAGTACACTACAGGCGTTAGTTAATAATTATGTTTCAACATCGGTTCATTAATTTTAAGAAAGGTTCCCTACCAGTGTAAGATGTCAATAATAAGGAAAACTGTGTGGGGTACATGGGGATTCTCTGTAGTATGCTTTCAATTTTTCCGTAAGTCAGAAACTGTTGTAAAACATAAAATGCCTTATACAAACACAAATATGAGTTAAAGAAGATCTCTGTTCTCAAGGAGCTTACTGTCTAGAGAGAAGACAAATACCCAAGAAATTACCAGTGTAGTAAGTTTTGTGATAAAAGGAAGTAAGGGACATGAGCACCTGGTGGTGGCGTGCCTAACCAAAGCAGTCAGGTCTAGAGAATCTTGTAGATGAGAATGACTATGAACTGAGTATTTCAGGCATCAAGTGAGGAGGGAATGAGAAAATGCAAGAAGCAATGAAGTCTAGCCTTGACTGGTTAACTTCTTTTATCACCAGGATTGAGAGCAAATTTCCTAGACTTTTACAGTTATTCTAAATTTCATCTTAAGTGTTCTTGTCTGCATTGTCTCCCTCTCCCCAACTCTGCGCCGTTAATAACTCTGTTTCTATCTAGCTTGGATGTATCAAGTACTTAAACATGTTCTGTGCTCTCTGGCCTCCTCTGAACATAGAGTGATTTTTGGGATGTAGAGCACAATTTTGCCTCTTTAAAAGGCTATGCAGCTTTTCATACTGGCCCTGTTTCCCTTCTCCTTAAAAAGTTCCAAACTCCTCATTTCATAAGTTCCCTTCCCACTTCAAACTCAGCTTGTTGTATCCTTCATTTTTAACATCAAGTAAATCAAATATTTTTAGGATCCTCTGAATTCAATTTTAATAATTCTGTTATTTTTCTTAAAATATTTCATGGTAACTTTGGAATTATTTATGTTTTTATGTACTTATATTTTTTCATTAGTTATATTTCTCAATCCTCCAAATAATGAACTTATTTTGAAATCACTGTTTAAGAATCATAGAATCCCTGGGTATCATTTTTCCCTCTACCATTATTGAAAGAGGGAAAGAATATAAACTCATATTTATTGATTTCAATTTATCAGAAACTGTACAAGGCATGAGAAATATGTTAACTTTTCAAATCCCCTAAAACTCCTATGAGATAGGTATTATTCTTTTCATTTTCTGTGAAATGAAACTATCAAAGGTCCCTATCTATGTAAAATCTACTCAAGGAAATGTGTCCAAATCCTGAGTATGGAACCCAATGAGCAACAAGGCTCAGACTATTTTTATTCCCACATACCACCTCCTCTGTGCAAGAAGAGGAGTTGAGACTGACGAAGCCACAATTATTTTTTAACATTATACAGCTATTGAGTGCAAAGGCCATACTGATTGTCCCTTTTGTACAGAGGCCATGGGCCTCGCCAGATATATGACCTTAAGCAATTTTTCAACATCCCAATTCCGCAGCTTCCTCGATTTTAAAATGGGGCTAAAAACAGCACATTTCTAATGAGATTGCTGTGAGGAATGAAGGAAGTAATTCGAGTGAAGTGCTCAGAGCAGCTTCTGACAAGGAAAGCCCTGTTTCTACCATTGTGACCATCACCATACTTCCTTGTCATGATTTCTTTTCTCTCTTCTCCGTTCTCTATGGCATAGAAAACACCTAAAACTTGTGTATTTGTTTTATGGCTTCTGGGTTTACTTCTGTGACAGCCTTCTCATTTTTCCAGAATAAAAAAAAAAATGAAATGGTATTTGACTTCAGTTCAAGAGGTTGACGGTCAGTCACACTTAAGTGCTTAGGGAAAAGTAAGGGTGTAGTTAACACTGTCAGGAAAACACGGGGATCGCCACATGGCTCTGGGAAGGTAGGAATGGGGCAGTGCAGGTGCATGCAAACCTTCTCTCCCCCTCTTCAAACACCTTAGTGTACTCAGAAAGGAAACTGTGACATTGAGAGCACACAGAGAAGAGACACTAATTAAAATACAGCCATAAAATGTGTAATGTATGTTAGTAATTAGAGGAACTGCTTAGTTCTCTTCGCAGGTTTAATAGCTTCTCAAAGATTGTGAATAAGTTTGGTACTTTTTAATATTCCTCTGAAATACATATCCATGTACAACTTTGTATTACATAATTAAAAATGCCTTTCATCTGAAGGACTTAGATTTATCCTAGCAAATTAAGTATTGAACAACTGATCTCTAGGTTTGCTTTATTCATAAAGCAAATAAGTGAAGGCAATCAGTGCCCAGTTTAGGGCACCGGTCAACATAGAGGGGTACTGAAGCTTCATTCATGTCAGATAGCATGATGTGTCCTCTGGGAAGAAGAAATGCAGGATGATGGAAACCATGACAGCTATCTTAATTCTGTTCAATTTTTAAAAGGTAAACAAGTTTAAAGATGTCAAGGGTGTAAAGTGTACACCACATATTTAAATAGGACCGTGATGCAGAAAAAAAAGTATTCAAAAAGACATCTGTTTCTGCAGAAAAATACATAACATGCTTCAAAATTGAATAACGTGTCACACTGGAGAATAGAAAAATCATAAAATAAATGCATGCATCTGCAAAACTGTCGAAGATGTTCTCAGTTTCATGACATTTAATTATATTGAATTTCATCTTCTCAATTTCATGATTGATTACCTTTAGTTTCTCATAATCAACAGCGCTCAAGGTCAGTAGGTCTCACTTGTACCAGATAACCTGAATATTACTGGAGGGGAGGTTTGGGTCAACTTTCGATTCTTCAAATCTATTCAGGAGTGTTATTCTCCTCATTTCTTTTTTAAGTTTTTAGATTCAGGAGGTACGTGTGCAGATTTGTTGCCTGTATATACTGCATGAAGCTGCAGTTCAGGGTATGAAGGAACCAGTCACCCAGATGGTACCCAACAGTTTTTGTTTTGTTTTGTTTTGTTTTGTTTTGAGACAGAGTTTTGCTCCATTGCCCAGGCTGGAGTACAATGGTGCGATCTTGGCTCACTGCCACCTCTGCCTCCCAGGTTCAAGCAATTCTCTTGTCTTAGCCTCCCAAGTATCTGGGATCACAGATATGCACCACCACACCCAGCTGAGGTGGTTTTTTTGTTTTTGTTTTTTTTGTAATTTTAGTAGTGACGGGTTTTCCTCGTGTTGGTCATGCTGGTCTTGAATTCCTGACCTAGAGTGGTTCACCCACCTCGGCCTCTCAGAGTGCTGGGATTACAGGCCTGAGCCTACAGTGAGTTTTTCAACTCTTCCCCCTTCCCCTCCTCCAGCCCCTAGGAGTCCCCAGAATCTATTGTTGACAGGGCTACATTAAAACTTTTCAGTTTGTATATTTTTATATGTGGAGATCAAAATGTGTGTGGCAAAGGTAACTATAAAATGCTTGGTTTCAATGAATCCACTTTAATTCTGTGAGTTATACTAAAGCTCTAATTCACATAACTGTTTAAGACAATAAGCATAGCATTAAGCTATGTGAAGCACATGAGACATGCCTGGCTCCATTATTTTACATAACTTGGCTGTGAATACTAAAAGGACATTATATGCCAAAATTTTTTAGAAACAAAGGCTTTTATATATAAATTTGTTGTATTTTTATTTTTATTTTTTAAGTGGGCCATGTATATGGCAGAGCAGGCAAGTTTCTATTTGAACTTTTGTTTTGTATTGTTTTAAGAGAGAGAGGGTCTTGCTCCATCACCCAGGCTGGAGTGCAATGGCATAATCTCTGCTCACTGCAGACTGAAACTCCTGGGCTCAAGCAATCCTCCCACCTCAGTCTCCAGAGTAGCTGGGACTAAAGCTGCGTGCCATCATGCCTGGATAATTTATTACTTTTTGTGGAGACAGGCTCTTGCTGTGTTTCCCGAGGTGGTCCTGAAACCCTGGCCTTAATCAATCCTCCTGCCTTGGCTTCCCAAATATTTGACTTTACATGTGGTTTTATTAAAAGAAATAGGATGTTTCCAGTAATGGAAGTGAACCAAAGGAAGTAGTAAAAAATGTATTAAAATGTTAAATTTTACATTGAATTACATTTAAACATGTTAACACCAAAAGAAAATACCATTATCACATCACCAGCTTTTCATGTAATTCACGTATCATAGTAAAACGGCACCTGTAATTAATTTATACTAAATGGCACCTGTATTTGAAATGCTATGTTTTATATTTAATTACATTTAAAAGTATTGTTAACACTAAAAATATCATTATCACATCACCAACCATTCATGTTATTCACTTACCATAGTAAAATGGCATCTGTAATTTATACTAATGTGAAACACTGGTGATGTGGGTGGACTCTCAAGACATACTGAATGAATGGGCCTGAAGAACAGATCAATGTGGTGATGAGTCAGTCCAGTCATTCCTTCATAAAAAATGGACTAGATGTTCTGTATCCAGGAAATGAAATCGATTAGATCCCTGTTATGTCAACTTCCAGTCACAGTTCTTAATCATGCCTCATGGGGTAACCATTTTGTGCCTTTAGCGTATAAAAGTCCTGCTACTTTGTAGTTCAACACAGTACTCATTTCCCGAGTCTTATTTACAGAGAAGACAACTCATCTCTCTTCACAATTCATCTTACTTAAAGATGGTCTCCTATTCATAGATTCAAGAAAATATTTTAATTCTATCCCACAATTTTCCTGTAACTTCTTTTCTCGGGGAAGAGCGAGAATAGGGGTCTTGTTATTAAGTGGGAAAAAAATGAAGGAAGAGCTTAATTATTACAACGGCAGTATTTTCATCAAGGTATGGAGATGTCATTCTGTTCACTGACGGATCTAACAGTTCACCCAAGTCACATGGTGCTGTGTAGTCAGAAGAATCAGTGTTGCTCCAGGCACAGTGTTTATTCTTCTCTAGGAGACAGTCAAAATGTGGAGAGCTGCCAGCTCTTGATTTTAGCTGGCTAGAAAGATAAAGAGGAAATAGTTATTCATTAAATAACATTTTTACAATTAAAGGACAAAAGATATAAGAAGTAAATAGAATATTCTTTGGCTTCATCTACTTTATTACTACAACCCATAGTGCTGAATGTAGGCATAACCCTGATATGACTATGACCCTCTAAATATTTGATGAGTTCACATGTGCCTTACAGAAAATCTAATTTCCGGGTTATCACTAACAGTATGTTCTGCTTCAGACACTGTTTCTCTTCCCTGAGAAAATGCAGACCTTGAAGCATATACTTACTATATCTTAGCAACATTTGGATATTTCTGGTCAAGATAAGATATTATAAATAATAAAATTATTTATGAACAAATCCATTGATTTAGGATATATTTATATCAATGAAACCAACAAGAGGCAATGTCCAAAATTATGCAGAAGTATCAAGAAAAAAACCTTATTTCTTTATAGCTTCGATACACTCTCGTGTTGGTTTTATAAGATTTTATCAAGCCATTGTTGTATTAGAGCATACATGTTTTCTATAATCCTAGATATTGAATTTCTGATTTTTAAACTGATATAATTTTTGAAAATATGAAAATACAAAATAACTTAATTTTGATTTAAGTCAGTGTAAAACATAAATAATTATTTTGAGCAAGTAACAAATTGCATTATCATTATAGTTTCTTAGACTCTTACCTTAATTAATAATATTGGAATCTCATATATCCATAAAAATACAGCTGGAACGAACAGATGTGACTGAGGTATAAACTGCTCATCCATGTCCAGAATCCAAACATATGACATACTTTACTGCTGAAGATATATTATACAAAATACACAAAAAACGGTGCCTCAAACCTTTATTCTATTACTACTTCCAGAAGGAGGCATGCAGAAGAAACTTAAATTATTATTAATGCTTCAGGATATTCAAAGAAAATTTTATTTGTCCTACAGGAACCTTTGAGCCTGAATAAAATGAGCAAAATCAGCAATATTCTGAATGTTCAAAGCTTATTTCAGTCTACAAACATACTAAGATTTCTGTAAAGTTATGTCTTGAAGAGATTTATGCTTGCCTTGTTACATATTCACTTAATTGTAAGTTCCAAAATTCCTGTACATGAAAAATGCTACAGGGAGGGCTGAATTTCACTAGACTTTTGCTGAAAGATTATGATGTCTAGCATTGGATATTGAATTAACTTTAGCATTATTCTAGCTACTACTTATAGAAGAAAGGGAAGACAATATTTTTGTTGAAAAGAAAGCCTGCAAGCTTATATGTGCCTCCTCTTCTGTCTTTTTCCCTCCCACTCTCCTCTGCTGTCTTCTGCTTGTTTCTCTCCCCCATCCCCTTTTATATAAATACTCATATACAATATCTGCAATATAAAAATCAGCTTTCAAGATTTCTTATCAGAGCTTTTGTAGTTTGAAAGATATGAGAAAAGTAAGTTTAAATCTTGCTTTTGTTGAAAGGTGTTTAGTGAAACAGTAACATCTTTTCTAGTTGATATGCACTGATAGAATTTTACTGCAAACATGTACAAATTAGTTCAAATATCATATTTTGAAAAGTTTACTTTACCCTGATAAGAACAAAGAAGCATGATCAGTAGAACACTGAGGGCACTAAATCAGAAAAGGCACAATTTTATGAATTCTTTTACTCTTTCAAAAAACACAAGTGAGCCAAATATTCTTTTATCACTAAGGATATAATAAAAATAATTAGTGTTGTTTTCTCTCAAAAGCTCACAGTCTGGTAGAAAGGAAAATTATGCATAATGATAAGGGCATATGGTCTAGTTCACTTGAACACAGGTTGATACTGAGCTTCTCATACACATCAGCTACATTAAAGTATAAAAATGGTGGGCTGCAGGAATGTATTCCTGAAGAACGGGGGGCTTGAGCTTTTTTTTTTTTTTTTTTTTTGAGAGAGTCACACTCTGTCACCCAGGCTGGAGTGCAGTGGTGCAATCTTGGCTCACTGCAACCTCCACCTCTGGGTTCAAGAGATACTTTTGCTTCAGTTCAGTCTTTCAAGTATCTAGGATTACAAGTGTGTACCCCCAACCCAGCTAATTTTTGTATTTTTAGTGGAGACTGGGTTTCACTATGTGAGCCAGGCTGCTCTCGAACCCCTGACCTCAAGTGATCCACCTGCCTTGGCCTCTCAAAGTGAGCTAAGTTTTAAAGATTATTTTTTGGTCAAAGAATGTATATGGGAAAGATTACACTAAGAAAACAGATCAAGAGAGTGTAACATTGGGAAACTTCAAATTTTTGATGGATGAACTACAAGGAACACAAGAGAAAATGAGAAGCCAGAGAGGTGGATTGGGATGAATTCTTAGGTCAGATAAGGAAAAGTCTTATAATACGAATGCTTTTATTTTGGGAGGAAGAAGATAGCAGGCTACTTACAGATCTTAAGGAGTGGATTATGATGATTCAACTTGCATTTAAAAGTATAATCTTGGAGATAGTTGAGAAATTTACTGGAAGGATGATATGCATTACAAAGTCGTTTCCACTGTTACGTAAACAAATCAGCCTGAAATAAGGACGGAGGGGGGAGAAGAAGGAAAGACAGTCAGAAAATTCTGAGGAAGTAAAACAAATTGATGTGGTTAGTTTTAGGGAATATTGAATTTGAGATTCTGGCTGAGCTGTCTGGTTAATGGAAAGAAGATAGTTTGTGCACTCAGCACTAAAAACATATTTCCATGGTAGTTGAGACATTGGTTGTAGGTGAGCCATTAATGTTGTTAGGGAGTATAGTGAAAGGTAAAGGAAACCTGCGTAGACGTAGAATTTAATGCAAAGACTCCAAATTAGGGTTTCCCAAAGTTTAGGTCCACATCAAAGTTCCTCAAGGGACAAAGTACATTTCCACAAATCACAGTGGTTTATGATATGATATGGTTTGGCTCTGTCTCCTCAACGAAATCTCATCTTGAATTCCCATATGTTGTAGGAGAGACCCCGTGAGAGGCAACTGAATCACAGGGCAGGTCTTTCCTATGCTGTTCTCATGATAGTGAATACATCTCATGGGATCTGATGGCTTTATCAGTGGGCGTTTCCTTACACAAGCTCTCTCTCTTTGCCTGCCACCATACACGTAAGACACGACCTGCTCCTCCTTGCCTTTCGGATTCAAGCGATTCCCCTTCCTCAGCCTCCCGAGAAGCTGGGACTACAGGCGCACAGCACCACGCCCAGCTAGTAGATATGGGGTTTCACGGTGTTGGCCAGGATGGTCTTGATCTCCTGACCTCGTCATCTGCCCACTTAGGCCTCCCAAAGTGCTGAGATTACAGGTGTGAGCCCCTGCACCCAGCCAAAGTTTATGTCCACATCAAAGTTCCTCTAATAAACAACATTTTCACACTGTTGGTGGAAATGGAAGCTAGTATAGCCACTATGGAAATCTACATGGAGGATCCTCAAGAAAACAAAAATAGAACTACCATATTATCTAGCCATTTTACTTCTGAGATATACTAAAAAGATTTGAGAAGAGTGTTGAAGTGATACCTGCACTCCTATGTTCATTGCAGCATTATTCACAATCGTCAAGCTATGAAGTCAACCTAGATGAATACTATTCAGCCATAAAAAGAACACAATCCTGGCATTTGAGACAGCATAGGTGAACCTGGAGGGCTTTATGCTGAGTGACATATGCCAGACACAGAAAGACAAGTAACTGCAAGTGCTTACATAGGTATGGAATCTGAAACAACCAAACTAATGGAAGCAAATAGTAGAAGGGAGGTTACAGAGGCTAGGAGAGGAGTGAACGGGGAAAACGATGGCCAAAGGGTGCACAATCTCAGACAGAAGGAATATTCTTAATTTTGAGCTCTATTGAACAGCATGGTGAATAAAGGTAACAATACAATAGTGTACATTTCTAAATTTCCACAAGATTAAATATCAAAGAGTGATTAATCTATTTCAAATTATCACAGTATCACAACACACTAGAATTTACATCATGTGCAACAAGTTCAAATTAAAATGGAACATTTTATACATCAAGTTAAAATACACAAAGGAGTTAAAACTACAAGGACACATGTACACGAATGCTCATTGCAGCACTGTTTACAATAGCAAAGACCTGGAATCAATCAAAATGCCCATTGATAATAGACTGGATTGGAAAAATGTGGCACATATACACCATGGAATATTATGCAGCAATCAGAAATTATGAGTTTGTGTCATTTGTAGGGACATGGATGAATCTGGAGAACGTCATCCTCAGCAAACTGACACAAGAACAGAAAATGAAACACCGCATATTCTCACTCATAGGCGGGTGATGAAAAATGAGAACACATGGACACAGAAAGGGGAGTACTAAACACTGGGGTCTATTGGGGGGAAAAGGGGAGGGCCAGTGGGAGGGGGAGGTGGGGAGGGATAGCCTGGGGAGAAATGCCAAATGTGGGTGAAGGGGAGAAGGAAAGAAAAGCACACTGCCATGTGTGTTCCTACGCAACTGTCTTGCATGCTCTGCTCATGTACCCCAAAACCTAAAATCCAATAAAAAATTTAAAAAAAAACTTTAAAAAAATAGTTTGAGAAGTTTACTAGTCAGAAAGGTAAGCTTATTTTGCAGTAATAAACACCAATGACTTGGCCCCTCTCCCATTTTTTTTTCACATACAAAGTCTCTTATAATATACATGAGTGAAAGAGAGGATGAACATGAGATGGCTCTGCTTGACATTGTTCCTTGGGGACACAGCTTGACATTACCTTTATCACCCCTGCAGTCATTGGTCTTATCAGGAATAGAATGGGGGCTCTGGAGAATTACCCAGCGTCTTTTCATTGCTGTCATTTGGAAAGGTAGATGGTGCTTTCCGTCTCAGTTAATTGGCAAGAATGCAAGCGTCCTGGGAAGTGTAGTCTTCCATCTTCTTTCGAGGGAAAAAGAATTTTGGCGTTAGTAATATCTACCAGTAATGTGTGTCATGGGATGTATGTGAATGATGAAGTATGAAACCATTGACTTCCCAACAGTGTATCAAAGTGGGTGCAGAGGTGCAGATGGAGCACTAAGAAAACGTTCAAGGCTCCTAGTTTCTCTGTGGGCTTGTGACATCTACTTCCCACCTTAGCTAAGATCTGGCACCTCTTTGACGCTACCTTGAATTTTAGGCAGACTAATGGTCCTTTAAGAAATTTGTGTTTGAAACCTTAGAACTTGTAAATAGGCCACCTGACACAGCAACAGGGGCTTTGCAGATGTAATGAAGGACCTTGAGATGAAAAGGCTATCCTGGATTACACTCAGGGTCGGGGTGGGGGACAATGTCGTCATAAAGTTTCTTATAAGAGAAAAAGGAAGGCAAGAGAGCAAAAGATAAGATGACACACACAGAGGTGGCAATGATGTCATCACTTGGTTTGAAGCTGGAGGAAGGGACCAGAAGCGAAGGAATGTAGGCAGCCTCCAGAAGCTGAAATAAGGCAAGGAAATTCATTTTCTCCCAGAGCTTCCAGAAGGAACCATCTCTGCTGACATTTTGATAACAGTTTTAAGTTATTAGTTATTCTAAACAATTATTTGTCTCTTGTCACTTTTGCTTAATCCTTCTGCACGTGTTTTGTAGACGTCCAAATCTTAACAATTCCTCAACTGCCTGTAAGTCACTCTCAAATAACTTAATGAGTATTAAAAATAACAATTGTAGTTCTTTAGGTAGCTTACAAATTTCCTTATAGATTTTTTATTTAACATTTCTTCTTTTAAAATATTTTTTTTTACTGGTTTGTGTGCAAGCTCATTGAATATGGAAATCAGAATCTATACATATTTTGTTTATTTTCATACGATGCCTTGCATAGAGATTGGCGTATGTGGAGCATCAATATAAATTTCCTGATTAATTAAACATGTCAGTCTCATTTCATATATTTCTAGATGTGCTCTTTAAATGGAGTTCCTCAAGTCTATTCTCCATCCATGGTGTCTGGCCCTCTTTGGATCCGGTCTTCTGTTGCCCTCTGTTGTAGTATAAATTGTGTTCCCCACAAATTCAAACATTAAAGTCCCAAATTCTAGTATTTCAGAATTTGATCTTATTTAAGTTGTTGAAGACATAATTCATTAAGAAAGCTAGGATAAGCCCCTGTTCCATTATGATAAGTGTCCTTATAAAATGGGGAACTTTGGACACAGAAGCGTAGGAGAAGAATATCGTGTGATCATATGCACATAAAGGCAGAGATGAGGTGATGCACCTGCAGGCCAAGCGATGCCAAAGATTCCCAGAAAACTAGAAGCCAGGAGTGAGGCCTGGAACAGCTTCTCCTTTACGAACTTCAGAAGGAACCAATCCTGTCGATACCTTGATCTGGAACTTCTATGCTCCTGAGCTGCGAGACAATAAACTTCTGTGTATAAGGCCCCTGGTTTGCTCTGGAATCCCGATAGACTGATAGGACTCAGTAATCTCTACTCCACAGTGGTTTCTCATACAGTTTAGGTTCGTTTTCAGAATCTGTTCAACTGTTTCTTTGTACAGCCTCTTAATGGTTGCGTTAAGGGGGTGTAACCCTCACGTTGTTTTGCTCTCATCTCAGCAGAAACTGACTATTTATATTTTCAGCACGTGCAGCTTCTCAGAGAGTAAATACACATTCGCTTGCTTGTTCTCAATGTTTTGCACAAAGCTCTTCTTAGGGTTGATTTCATTTATTATCAATGAATTTTTCCTCTTGTACCTTTTTGCTCTTATTAATAATTTATATGAGTATTAGAAATGCTTATATCCTCTATAATTTGGTTTCCCTTGGTTTTTATCTAGTTGTAAATTTAGTTAAAGAACTCTATCTCTAGTGTCCAAATAAAGGAGTCCACGGTAATTTTATAAATTCCTTTCTCACCTTGCCTTTTTAATAATATGTGACCGTTTAAGAGCATGGCTACATAAAGTCTGCTAAAACCTATCTTTCCCAGATATTCTTATCTTAAAAAGGAAACAGGCAAAAGTGCATTATACAAATTGATGCAAAAGGATTCATGTGTGATAAAAAAATTTTTTGCATGGGCAAATTAGATAACATCAAAATAATTTGTGTTTATATGATTTTATGTATGAAAATTTTTGTGTGAAATAAAAGAATCTCAAGAATTTCCCCCAGACTACTTAATGGTAATTATTATGTTTTAAATTATATGAATTTACTTTAATTACAATTAAATATAGTCAAAATCAACTTTATTTTGTATTTCTTGTATAGATTAGTCAATCCTTACTTTTATATAATTCATAATACATATGCTATTATATTTTATGACTTTTAAGTTATACGTTCTAAATGACTCTTTCTAATCATTATTTTTGATTGAATGTTTTGCATGTCTCATTCAAACCTTACGAGTCCTTTACGGTCCATATTAAGCACCAACTCCTCCGTAAAATGACTTTAACTGACTTTAACCCTATTAGTATCTGTTTAGGTAGCTTATGAATTATGTGCTTACAGATTTAATATTTGATGTTTCATTTACTGAAATATTTGTTTTTGGAGTTCAAGCTCATTAAATACAGAGATCAGGAACTATATAATTATATAATATTAGATATAACTATATACTACATATCAGTATTATTATATTAGTATTAAATATATGTATACTTTTTAATATATGTATGTATTTTAATGGTATGCACATACTTTTCATCTATACATACTTTTAATAGTATACACATACTTTTATATACATACTTCTTAATGGTGCTACTTCATGAAATTGAGTTGATTTCAAATAGTTGTTCTATTTTTTGAAATATAAATTCTAAAAGCAAAGTTAAAATTCCATTTCAAATTTCATATTCCGTTGCAGAGATTAAGATAAAAATTACAAACATAAAATATTATGTAACAGCATGAAGATTATGGCCATTTAAAAAATAATTTTTAGGTATTTACATTTCTTAAAACACGAGTACCAAAAAAATAATTACTGAGTAGCATTTTGCACCCAACCTGACATCTGTTTGTCAGTCAAGAAACGTTTATTGAATATATACAATGGAGACAAGAATGTTATAAATCATTTTAGAATTTTCAACCATAAATTTTTTGACATACTATGTTTTCCCATGAGAATAAATGGCATGTCTCTTTGGTCATTAGATAGCCCTGATACATGTGACTGGGGTATGATTTTATTGAGATAGAAATGTTTTATTATTTTTCTCTTTGTTGAGAACATCATTTTTCTTTCCTACCTTGAAATGACATCTTAGGGTATGATTGACAGGATGATGAGAGCAGTTAAACAGTGACATTTTTAGTTTCAATTTAAAAGAGTAATTCTCTGAGCTCAAGATAATTCCATAGAACTGCTTTTATACAATGCTAGTAATTTTATGGATATGTCAGTACAGTATATAAGGCAAAACTGAATTGAACATGAAAAGTATCATTAGCATCGCATGAGTCATACATATCATCAAAATGCCACTTAAAAATAAATGGAAAGGTATGCAGAGTGACAGACAGGCACAGACCAATCAGCAGCACATTGCAGAAATAGAGGGAAAACGCAGAGTCTTGCATAAAAGTTATTATTCCTGAGAAGAACAGTTTCAGAATGGCTTCAATATAGCTTGATTGTATTAATTTTTTTAATTAACAAGATTGATGATAGAAGAGTTACAGCATTGTCAAAATGTCTGTAGGCAAAATAGTAAAGCATTTTTTATTGTTGACATAACACAAAACAGAACCAGTCAAAAGCAGAGGCCAGAAACAACAGGCTGCTGTATCATGGTGTCCTTCACTGGTAAGAGAAGAAACAGCAGGGATTTATGCACAATTTTAATTGTACTCAGCAAATGTTTAACCACAGGTTTTATAAAATTAGGTAAGTTCATAAGGAATACACTAAGGGTGCATATGACCATTTCAGGGAGACACGGGGAGATAACAAATAGAAATGCTTCAGATTTGAGCTCTAGAAAATTAGTTCCTGTGTTTGTGCTGTTTCCCAAAGAGTTGGTTTGACTCCTGGCCAGACACTCAATAATATATGCCAGTGGGCAAATTATTTAACAGTTCTGTCTTTTGGCTTTGGAAGATACGAAAAATTTTAAATACTTTAAAATCTTTAATAATGTAATCATTCCGTATCACCACAGAAGACACAGCAAACTTCAGAAATAGAAAGTAAACAAGCAATGGGGAAAGGATTCCCTGTTTAATAAATGGTGCTGGGAAAACTGGCTAGCCATGTGCACAAAGCAGAAACTGGACCCCTTCCTGACACCTGACACTAAAATTAACTCCAGATGGATTAAAGACCTAAACATAAGACCTGGCACCATAAAAACCCTAGAAGAAAATCTAGGTAAAACCATCCAGGACATAGGAGTAGGCAAGGACTTCATGACCAAAACACCAAATGCATTGGCAACAAAAGCCAAAATAGACAAATGGGACCTAATCAAACTCCACAGCTTCTGCACGGCAAAAGAAACAGTCATTAGAGTGAATCAGCAACCAACAGAATGGGAAAAAATTTTTGCAGTTTACTCATCTGACAAAGGGCTGATATCCAGAATTTACAAAGAACTAAAACATATTTACAAGAAAAAAACAAACAGGCCCATTCAAAAATGGGCAAAGGATATGAACAGACACTTTACAAAAGAAGACATACATGAGGCCAACAAACATATGAAAAAATGCTCATCATCACTGGCCATCACAGAAATGCAAATCAAAACCACATTGAGATACCATCTCACGCCAGTTAGAATGGCGATCATTAAAAATCTGGAGACAACAGATGCTGGAGAGGATGTGGAGAAATAGGAACACGTTTACACTGCTGGTGGGAGTGTAAATTAGTTCAACCATTGTGGAAGACAGTGTGGCGATTCCTAAAGGACCTAGAAATAGAAATTCCATTTGACCCAGCAATCCCATTACTGGGTATATATCCAAAGGACTATAAATCATTCTACTATAAGGACACATGCACATGAATGTTCATTGCAGCACTGTTTACAATAGCAAAGACCTGGAACCAACCCAAATACCCATCGATGATAGACTGAACAGGGAAAATGTGGCACATATACACCATGGAATATTATGCAGCCATCAAAAACGATGAGTTCGTGTCCTTTGTAGGGACATGGATGAATCTGGAGAACATCATTCTCAGCAAACTGACACAAGAACAGAAAATGAAATACTGCATATTCTCACTCATAGGCGGGTGATGAACAATGAGAACACATGGACACAGGGAGGGGAGCATTACACACTGGGGTCTATTGGTGGGAATAGGGGAGAGACAGCGGCAGGGGGAGCTGGAGAGGGATAGCATGGGGAGAAATGCCAGATGTGGGTGAAGGGGAGAAAGCCAGCAAATCACATTGCCACGTGTGTACCTATGCAACTAGCTTGCATGTTCTGCACATGTATCCCAAAACCTAAAATGCAATTAAAAAAAAGAAAGTTAGCTTTCACATACAGAGTAAATATTTTTTCTTAACATAAACAATGTTGCGTGTAGATTCTTAGAATCAAGCCTATGTGATAATGAGCCTGACAGAGACTAAATGAAAAATTAGTATTTGGAATCCAACTCTGTATCAGTTTGTTTTCTCACTGCTGATAAAGACATACCCGAGACAGGGCAATTTACAAAAGAAAGAGATTTAGTTGGACTTACAGTTCCAAATGGCTGAAGAGGCCTCACAATCATGGTGGAAGGCAAGGAGGAGCAAGTATGTCTTACAGGATGGCAGCAGGCAAAAAGAGAGCTTGTGGAGGGGAACTCCGCTTTTAAAAACCATCAGATCTCATAAGACTTACTATCACAAGAACAGCACAGGAAAGACTTGGCCCCATGACTCAATTACCTCCCACTGTGTCCCTCCCATAACACATGGGAATTCCAGATGAGATGTGGGTGGGGACACAGCCAAACCACATCACACTTAGATTTGAGTCATGGCATCTCCAAATCCTCCTTTGATAAGTCTCTTGGAGCCATGCTTTAAATTGCAGGATTCTTTGTTTCTTCTGATGTAAAATGTAAATGCGATAATGAGTATTTCATAGCTTTTGAGAAAAAAACGCAGATAATTTATAAATGTTTTCAGCACAGCACATGACATGGTGAATGCTCAGTGATTTTTAGCTATTCCGATCATGATTTCTTAATTAGGTACCTTAATTAGGATTTTATTCTAGATAACTGCTTCCCAGAGAACCTTCTGTGATGATGAAAATGTTCTAATACTCATTGCCCAGTATGTAGCCAATGAACACATGTGCATATTGAAATTCAAATGTAGCCAGTGCATCTGATGAACTAGTTTTTATTTAATTAATTTCATTTAAACTGTTTTGTGGGGCTAGTGGCTACTTTGTCAGACACTGCACTTCTGGACTCTTTCCTCATTCTACATTATCTAGGTGGTCTCACCTACATTTACGGCCTGTATGATCACCTGTGTCCAGGTATCCCCCAAGTCTTCATCGCACCACAACGTAGCAGCTACTATCTATGGGACATGCTTTGGGTGCCAGCCGTCATTCTAAGTGCACTGTACACAGTGTCTTATTCCAGCCCCCCTGCATCCATGTGACACAAATACAATTGTTTTAGTTATGTTGCAGATAGAGAAATAAAAAAGAACCAGGCAATTTGCATTTAAATGAGAAGTTAAGATAAGCTTCATGGCTGCTGTGATGATCCTGGCACAGGAGCCCACGTTAAATGCTTTGCCTGAGGGTGTGACTGCTTCCACATAGCAGGACTGTAGTGCACTCAGATTCCAGCTCACCACCCAATTATGATTTCTATTCTGTCATACTGTAGAATAGAGGCCTGCTGTCTCAGAAAAGAAAGACACAACTTTCACCCAGAAACTGCAGGTTTACTGAGGCAATGGGGTGGATGTGGGTAGAAAGATGCCGAAGAAAGAATTCGAGTTTGTTCAGGCGAGTGCTGGTGAAGGAAAGTATATGGGATCAGTTCTGAATTCCCTGAGGGAAAATGCTTTCTCTTTGACTCTGTGTGTGTTTGTGTGTATGTATAAGTATATATAAAAATAAAATTACCTTTAACAATATATACATATACATATGTTGTGTGCATGAATACATACACACATGTATACACACACAGATATCCACACTGTGCAGAAATAATCTAAAATAATTATAAAATGGAACTTTCAACATGAACTTCAACGAGTCAAATTATAAATCAGCCTTTTATAAATCGTCTAGAGAGTGAGTCCATAGATCTTTAAAAACTCCTTCTGGCTCTCTGACTGTGTGGTATGTCAGACAGTAATTTGACTTTCATTTGCATAGCTTCAAGGACATGTTTGAAAAAAATATATATCAAAGAAAACCAAAATGAGACACCAGAGAGGAAAGGCAACAGGATGCTGGTGTTTCCTTTTGTTCCCCTTTAGAAAATCAAATATCTCTTGAAGCTATTAGGAGGAATACACAAAGGTCATTTCCCAGCCAGTGTGACAGGAATGTATTTAATCTCAAAAGCATCAAAGAATATCAGGTTTTCTAAGATCTTATGCATCTTATCCTAACCTTAGAGCGCTGTTGTGCTCACTGGTAAGAGGTTAAATACAACTTTTAAAATTGGACGATTTTTCCTGTTGACTTGAGATAAGATTATAGTTATCTAAAATACACAAAAAGCAACTTAATTGGCTTGATTTATCAACAGGAAAACACTGGCTTTCTTTTTGGTTAAACATTTGACTTATTTTCATATTGTTTTTAAATGTCATCAGATCTCTTAACTAATAATTTAATTCAGAGATATTCCATTGCTGATATCATAAACGTCAAGGTAGAAATTTGGTAACTGTGTAGAACTAGCTCTTCAGAAAGAGAAAATATTAATATTTTGGAGAAGAAAACACACTTTAGGGTTTACTGTTGTTTATACAATTTTACAAAGTCATTTACAATGCCTACATGCTTTAAAAAATATTGTCATATTTTATATTTTCACAAACATTTAAGCCCAAATGAGCAATAAACTTTACTATCTCTGAATAAGATGTGGCTCTAATGTCTAGAAGGCTAAAGCTAAGCAGCTTCACTTCACAGCCTGGGCTCAACACGGATCCTCAGGGAGCATGATTCATGCACAAAGCTAACAGGTTCTGGAAACAGGGTTTCCTGACTCACCAACTGGAGTTCATTATTTGGGAGCACTCCCAGTAAAGCTCAGAAAACATGTTGTTTTCAGACATTAAAATTCTAAAAATGCATAGAATTAGATTGTCCTCCTACCTCATCCCACTTCCTTCTCTAATGTTGCTAATTTTGCATTTCCCCTTGTTTAAAGTAAGCTCACTAACGGAACGCATAGCCTTTCTTTCAGGAAGCCTTCGCCTTTCACCACATAAACCAGTCTCAGGCAGCTGGTGCTTTCAAACCAGCCGTCTCATCATTGCCCTTACCGCAGGATGATAAAAACCTTCTTGTGTATCTGCATCTCACACTAAGGCTTGAAGATTCTGTAGCTGAATATCGCTCATCTTCCAATGCCCTACAGCTAAAAGCTCACTGAACACTTAGTACCTGCTTAATTAAATACTGCTTGGGAAAAAAAATGAATGAGGGAAAGAATGCCTGAATACATGTAAATCTGACTGGCATAAAGGCTAATGTAACTTCAGCTTTGTGAGAGAAAATTGAAAATAAAATATCTTACAATATTTCTTCTACAGAGACTTCTAGTTCCTTCTGACAATCAGAGATAGTTAAGAAAATTAAGTGCATTTATGCTTTTAGCTTTGCATTTAGAAAATTTGTATTACTCCATTAAAGATAACTTTTTATTCCCCTGGCTATTTTCCTTTGCCCCATCAAAGACGGCAATCGTTGGGGCTTCTCAAATCATGGGCCATCAAATTATTTATTACTTGATAAAATGTCTGTGTTGTGGGCACGGCTATAATGTTTGAGCATCAGAAAATGAACCACCGGTGCTGGAAGTGGGAATCTGAGGACCAAGAGTAAGAAAATGATAAGGAGGTGGCTGATTGAAGAACCACAGTAAAAGGGAATAGAAGATCAGAGAGCAGTAAAAATGGGGCGAACACCTCTCCTTGTACCTTTCCCTCTTTGCTTTGCTCATGATACATGAGATGCAGATGAAGAGAGCCTGAGGATTCTCTGACCTTAACATCTTACTTTTAAGTGCCCTCCAGTCCAGTAATCATGCTCTTGTGGAATGAGCTCAATTTTAACAATATGTATTAATATATAGGCTCACATCACATCACAGAATACCCTCCTGCTAAATTAAAGAGCTACACATAAAAGAATAACATATTTAAACATGCAAATGAAGGCATCTTTTTTTCTGAAGATGGGAAATGACCTTCTAAGCATAAATCAATGCAAGAAACCTTAAAAGATAAATAAATTTGACCATTTGGAACTTTTTAAAGTCAAAAATAATTACAAAAAAGTTAGAAGAAAAAGTTTATTGGCATTATTTTTCTAATGGCACATGCTCAGTTCATGTCTCTGCACATTTTGGTAATTCTTGCTGTTATCTCAAACTTTTTCATTATTATTACATCCGTTATGGTGATCTGTAATCAGTGATCTTTGATAGCAGTTGTTTTAGGGAACCACACACTGCAGCCATAGGAGATAAACAACTTAATTAATACATGTGTATTTCTGATAGCTCCACCATCCATTTTCCCATCTCTCTCCCTCTCCTGTGCCTTCCTATTCCCTGAGAAGCAACAGTATTAAAATATGTCAGTTACTAAGTCTACAGTGACTTTTAAATGTTCAAGTTAATAAAATAAAAACTTCAGTAAATTCACAGAGACTCCAGCGCAGCTACATGGTGGAAGAGGATTTATAGTCAAAAGACGAGAAATGACATACGGAAATGGGCAGTGAGTCACAGAAATAGCTGGATTGCTTACAGGTTGGTGCTTGCCTTATTTGAACACAGTTTGAACACTTGGCAGTCTTTGAGTGGCTCAAGTGTGGTCGCTGGGATCAGCCAAGACTCAGTTACCGTTACAGGAGCATACTCCTAATTAGGTTTTCAGTCTTGTCTACCTATTAAGCTAGATTACAGTTTATCCACAAGGACTCAGAAAAGTACGGAGCCTTTCTCAAGCCATATTTAGTTTGCTCTAACAAATTAAAAGGAAAAGTCCCAGATCTCTCACTTTAAATCAAAAGCTAAAGATGAGGAAGTTTAGTGAGGACAGCAAGTTGAAAGCTGAGATAGATTGAAAGGTAGGCATCTTGGACTATTGGCTTCTTTTCAGTTAGCCAAGGTGTAAATACAAAAAAAAAAATTAAAAGAAAATTTTTAGCACTACTCCAGTGAACACATGAATAATAAGAAAGTAAAACAGCCTTATTGTTGTTAGGAAAAAAAGTTTTAGTGTTTTGAATATAAGATAAAACCATACACAACATTCCCTTAAGCCAAAACCTAATCTGGACAAAGTCCTAACTCTCTTTAATCCTGCAAAGGCTGAGAGAGGTGAGGAAGCTAAAGGAAACAAACAAAAAAAGAAAAACAACATTTGATACTAGCAATATTTGGCTCGTGAGGTTGAAGGACATCCATTTCCATAATATAAAAGTGCAAGGTGAAGCAGAATGTGCCGAGGTAGAAGCTTAAGCAAGTTCTCCAGAAGACTTAGGTAAGATCATTGATGAAGATACACCACTAAACAGATTTTCAATGTAGAAAAAACAGCTTTACATTGGAAGAAGATGCTACCTAGAACTTTCATAGCTAAAGAGAAGTCAAGGCCCATCATCAAAGCTTCTA